TCCAGACTTCTGGTTAAACCCGTCGAAAGGTTTAGTTTGTTTGCTGGAAAATTGTTTCTATTTCCTCTTGAACTTCGTCTAGAGGTTTAATATCGCTTTTACACATCTATTCACAAACAATCGGTGACGATTACCCGCGTTGTTTTCCTTCCACTTCCATCAGCCACGTAAGTGGGTTTAATAGGTGTCGGCTACGGTTTTATTGTATTTTTCGGCCATGGCGTCGTTGACGGAGGTAGTCGATAAAAAGCGCACTTAACGTGAATTAAAAATAAATATTAATAGCGCCGGTCGCCCACGCCTAATCCATTTGTACCGATTAAAGCAACGTTTTTGTATTTTATTTTCAGTTGTGCTCATTTTACCTCGACAATGGTTATATATATATATATATATATACTTTACACCAGTGAAATATATTATGCATATCGTTGTTGTTTTTTCGCTATTATTATACAAGCCGGCGATAAAATATTATAGCTCTTGTATAACAGATGTATAGTAATATATAATATGTATTATATACTTGCTTATTTGTTTTTTTTTTTTTGCATTTCCTGTTGTTATAAATATATTCTCCATTGTCCTTACGTGTTTTTTACCGTTCGATCTAATATCCACGCTGCCCGAATCGGACGACACCTCCCCTTCGCGCGCAATCGGTATAACTTATAAGTAAGCTCATCGTATTCTACTCGTGTAAACCTTTCATCCATGCCTAGTATCTATAAAAAGCACGAGGGCATGGTGAGAGGGAGAGAGCGAGCGAATTGATTTATTTAATGTAGTTGGTTTGTTCTCATTGTTGGCTACATCATTTATCACTCGGCCGGCCACGACGGGGAGAGTAGTGATCGCAGAAGCGTCGGGGTAGTCACTCGAAGACGGCCGAGGGGTAGCCAGCTAGGCGGGGCATAGCAGCGGGTTGTTAATACCTTCAAATGGAGCGTACACCTTTCGTCGGCGGCGGACACACACACTTACGAACATTGCTTGTAATACGTCTGTGTTCGTGTAATATATTTTAATGCTGTTTTATACGAATCATTTTAGCACTATAGAACCTACACGTATATAGACACACATAGACGGTGATAGTAACCGTACTACATCAACTACCGTATTATAATAACCTATAATATATACGTTCAGGATCGACGTCTCGTCCACGCTACGAGCCATCAATGCGCCGAAGACTTGGAGGTGGAATAGTAAAGAAAGAGACAGAGATAGAGTCGAACGGTGTGCGCCCTGCTATTTATATATAATACCCCACAGCGGCCGCCTCTCAGAATCATTTGTTTAAACCCGTCCGGGGGCTAACGACCGACCGGTCTAATAAAGAATTCCCGTAACGTTCGTGACCTTTTCCACTGTCTTAACAGGGGAGCCGTCAACCCGGCCGGCGAATTTCAAACCCCTACCCTGGCCCACGACCTACATATAGTGTATACAAGTATACTGGAGAAAGCCGTGTACAGCTCTTACACGCGCCAAACATGATCGCTCCGACGACCGGCGTCACCCCTGTTGTGTATATCCAGATGACGGACGAGGGGAAAGGAGCGGAAAGGAGGGGCCAAGCGAAGGGGAGGTCACACACCAGGGTTTAAGAAAAACAATCGCTATAATAAACGATGTCGTTGTGTCACCACTATTAGAAATTCGACGGATATAAATAATATAGGCTAAAAATATATCGTATAAAATACCGGTTAGCGATAAAATCGTTACTACTCATTCGCTTACTTCTTTTTCATCTTGACTCTTGTTTTAAAAATGTAGAATGTTGCGTTTAATATCCGCTATATGTTTTATGTTATTCTGGTTTAAATTAATTTCAATTTTACAAGACAACAATATTGTGCGACAGGCGGTAGATGCCAACAATTCGTTTTAAACTTTTTTTATTTATTGTTCACTTTAATACAGCATAATATTAGAATATAGATTATCAGTCGAAATATAGTCTTAAGGAGATTTTGCAACCTCGAAGTTTCCATTTGGAAAAAATCTCAAGTCCAACGTGACTGCCATATAACAATTCGTGAGTATAAATTTAAATTAAAACCGAAGCTTGGCGCAAAGTTTTAAGAGAAAAGTTTCGGCGAGAAACGCGATTCGATAAATATTTCATAATCTTGTAACAAATTAAACATTTATTATTCGATTAATTATTAAACACCAACAAAACTATACAACAAAATTAAAGTTTATAAGTAATTTAGTCATACATGAATATTTCAACTCGCGTTTTGCTGAGAGTATACAATTTTCATTAAATCAAGTTAATAACATTAATTAGTTATCATTAATTTGTATTTCTTTTTTTTTTTTTTGCTCAATGGTTAGACTAACAAAATATTATAGCGACACCTCATATGCTACACTATAGAATTTAGCTAGACCGACTCATCCGAATTGAGTGTGACAGATAAGAATTGAAAAACCACCAAGCTGCATGCAAGGTATACTAATGGTATGGCTGAGTTGCACAAGGGTAAATATAAAGCAGCTATGACTCAAGTTGCATGCACAATTATAACTAGTAAATAGTATTAATAACAAAGGGGTCCTACCACCCTTAAATATTTAAAAACAGAGCAAGGAATATCGATAACAGCTTAGTTTTTCGTCAACATTTGTAGTGAAGGTTACACATTTTATTTTTTTTAAACGTTAAACTATTAAAATTGAGAAATGGTTTTTTTATAAAGCTAAACGGTCATGCAATATAAAAAAAATTAAATACGTTTAAGTGGGTAAAATACAACCTTGATAAAGACAATGAGTGAAAACCTAACAGGTAAAATCTCAGTAACCAACAAAAATTAAGGTTCTTCACCAAGCAATAATTTATACAGATTATAAAAAAGAAAAACCAGTGGCAATTTCAAATTTTCTTCCTGTTGCAGTCGCTTTATATAATATATATATGTCAAAACATGCAGCCACGAGTAAAGTAATATATAAAAAAAGAACGTTACGTAACAGATAATGTTCTCTTCTATGTATTTTGAAAATTGTGTGAATCTACTGCGAATACCGCTCTCATAAGTATGACTAGCACAAAGCAGTTTTAATGGGGAAAGAAAGTTTTCCATAGAAATTATTGTGATGGTCTGACACAACTAACACAATACTATGGTGAGAACCGGCGTTGGTAGTGACTATTATATTGGACAAAGTAAAAACAAAAAACTCGATCGAAATTCGAATCGTTCATTACCGAAGTGCTGGTCGGTTTTATTTTTCCCCTTTCGGAAATCAATTACCGGTAGTAAAATTCCTTATTGCTGTTAATGCGACCGTCATTTGACACGTGGTTCACCTGAGATCATGCGGGAAAGGGGGATTAAGTGTAGAAGGGGAACAGTACACCTATAATTACTACGAGTAAGTAAATCCTATTAATTCTGGTTTTCAATGCTACTTAAACAAAAAATTAAACCAGAGAACTTTGTTCGAAAGTTTCAATTTTATTATTTTATGCTTTTAGTTTCAATGCGATAGCGGATAAGGTTGTACAATTATGTGTTTTTTTTCTAACGATACGATAAGTTTTTTTCCTGTGGACAGACATACTCATCTAGGTACTTTGGTGGGTGAAAAGTTGAAAAAGCCAATTCCTTTACACCCAAAACCGGAGGTGAATCTGTGGATACCCACCTTTGGTATATTCTTAATTTTCTGATTTATAATATGCTTAGTCTGGACGGTGCTTGGGTTATATTTTGCTTATACTGTACAGGTCTTAACTTTACTAGGTTTCAAACATTCAGTGTAGGCTGTTAAAGCTCACAAGGACTTTGAAATTTAACTCCTTGAATGGTTTTAACATCTCTTAAATTTCAAATGCGTAGTTTTTTAATTATAAGTATTATTATCTATTTTAGAATCGGTACAGAGATGAGAAGATATTATTTTTAGAATGAGTTTTTTATTTCTATTTTGTGGTTGAACCCAATGGTCAATATATCTTTCAAATCGCTGAACCGATTTCTCCATGTAGCAAATCTATAGATTAAAAATCATAAAATTTATTTTAATAGGTTAAAAATATAAAAACATTATCCATTCTCTTTTAAAATCAATAAAAACACACTGAAAATGAATATAATTTTCAATATAAAATTACATAGCATGGTATAACATTTAAAAAAATTGTTAAATTATTTCCTAAATTTCAGAGAATAATATTTTAAGATAAAGTAATGTAGATAAACGTTTACAAACCAATAAAATATCTATAAGCCGTTTTCCCTAGAAGGGATGAAAGATTTTTTTTTTAATAATCTTTTTTTAAGTAAAGATTTAGAACTTATGGTCCAACAATAAAACTGAAAGTAGATACCTATTGAGGCTATAACATTTATAATTTTTTCAAAAATCTACAGTAAAAATTCGTTTTATTAAAGTAAAGGTTTGGTTTGAGAAAGTAAAAAAAGTAAAATTACATTTCGACCGTAGTAAATTTTAAAGTTCCCATGTATGAGTGAGTCAAGTGTCAACAGGTATCCGAATGTAATTCCGGATGGTGTTTCTTGATTTTTAATTGGCGTAGAACCAAAAAGAGGCGGGTCTTACTGGAAATTAGTCTTTAATTTTAATTTTTTATTTATAAGCTTGTATTATAACACCACAACAGTACAACGGTATAGAGGCTATATAAATTACATTTTAGCATTTCAAGTAGTCGTTTAATTATACAAAATGTGGGTTTAATGTATTTAATTATTGCAACAAGAACCGACAAGAACAAAACGGAAAAAATAAAAACTTGTGTAAAAACAATAATAAGTTTTCTGGGAGTTACTTCAGGGGTTTCGTTTGTTTTATTGTTTTAGGAAACCGACGAAGCCAATGCAGTGAGCGTTTTAATTTCGCAGTATTTTATCAAAGCCTCGGAGAATTGATTATTGCCGTTGTTATTGTTGATACTGTTACGGTAGCTATAATATTCTACAGAAATAATAATTATTGTTGTGCTCATATTTCAGGCTTCCGGCAGTCGGACAAAAGCGGATCGACGGCGGCGGCAGCAACCATGTCTCAGCCAGCTGTTGATCAACCGGTGACGCAACACCCTGGAATACAGCCTGTAGTGCGCATCACTTTGGCTTCTTTAGAAGAATATAACCTACTCTTGCACAACGGTTTGGACTTTTACGGTGCCACGTTCTTTCCCGTCGAAGCAGCCTTGCCCAGTACCATAAAAAAAAAACCGATAGCGATGGCTAACAGGTAAAAATATGTGAATATCTATATCTAACTAGCACTTATATTGCAAGATGTATACATTATCAAAAACAAAAAAATCATAAAACCCCGACTCAAAGTTCTGTCAAGCCAGCTCCTAATATGAAGTTAATTACAAACAGTTGCACATGACCCGTTAATGGAATTTAATTGTCAATAATACTATCAACCTGTTTAGCACTAGAAAACATTTATTTTTGTGCAATGGGTAGTACGTAGTAACTAGTAAGTAATTTTTGATGATCTATAGTAAATCTATAAAAAATTATTTAAACGATATAATATAAAATAAAATAATTTTATTTTGTACTTTATTCTTATATGATACCTACAATAAACAAAACAAAATTGTATTTGTAATGTGCATAAAAAAAATGTAATGTTATTGTTTACTTTCAATAACATAAGGTTATTTAATACAAATTGTAGAATAATACCTATAACAGTTCTGTAGCCATATTGCCTACACAAGACGCCTCACCGACGTTTTATGTGGAACTTTATTTAACTCTATATTTAAAATTTAACTTTAATATGCAACAAAGTCATAAAAAACTTCGAGTCGAGCCATTATATTTGGGGGCGCTAATTTAGATAGATCCTATTATGTTTTAGCATCATCATTATTTTATAAATTCAGTTTTATTTTACTTTGATTGATTTAATCTAGTAGTGAATAAATCGATTAGAGAAATTACCCAGAAGATAATAAGGGACGACAAAATAAATTCGAATGACTATATTCTTTGATACGAAACAGAGAAAAACCAAAAAAACATTTCCTAATTTCTCGAAGTTCATCATTAGTTCATTAAATTTTCGCAAAAATAGCCAGAACAATTTCAAATTTTAGTTTAACAATGATAAACGTAGCCCTGCCCAACAATAGCGGTAAACCAAAATTTTATCATTTCTTCTTCTCCCTACCAAGGAAATGATGTTTTTCGGTTTTTATTATAAAAACACAATATGTCAACTAATTTAAGCTTTAAAATTAAATTTTACATTTCAGTTGTTATGATATTTATATCATATTAAATTTGAGTTATATAGCTACACAATATTTTATAAATGTAAACAGAATATAATATTTAATACAAAAATATAAATAAAAGATTGACTTAACTTTTACTAGATAACTTTTTACTGTCCTAGTTTGTACTGTGTTCTGTTTGAAATAAAATAGAAAATAACCAAGGGTATATAAGTTCTTAAGGTTTAGACATTGTGATTTAATATAAATATATTAGTATGGTAAATTATAATAATTTTATTAATATTGAGAATATTACCTGCGTTATAATACCATGAATAACTGAATCGCACAATGTTTGATGTTTAGTAATTTGATTTGGAGTTACTTTTGGATGAAATTATAAAACATGCACCACAGTAATGTTTAAGGGTTTATCGTAAAGCCATAGGACGGTAGACGTTTCTAATTATAATATATTGTAGCCTGTACCACGTATCCCATACAGAGGACAGACATTATACGTGACATGCATGACACTAAAATTAATTTGCCTTAGAAGTACATAAAAAGTTTAATATTAAAAAAAAGTTTCAATTAAAAAAAAAGTGTAAAGATTAATCGTCATCTACAAGTGTTTTATAACTACAATTTTCAATAAATTAATGTAAAATGTACATTCATACAAAACTATAAAGTATACATTTTTATATTTAAATTTTGAACAGTCTTAGCTGATATTTTATTTATAATCTGATAGTCAAATAGACTTTTAGTTATATTTTTAATAATCATAATTCAATAATGATCATAATAATTTTAAACTAGCAATATTACTATTGATTAATATTAATTATTTAATTAGCGTACTTTTAAATTGATCATGTTTTTTATTATGTACCCTTGAAACATTCAAATAGTGTATAAAATGTATCAAGTCTAAATGTGTTTTATTTGCCAGACAGTATAAATTAATCAAGTCGAATTAATTTTATACTTCGTATATAAGCTTCTGTGTATGTTCGCTTCGTCACAATTAGTGACAATTAAATACTTTATTACCAAATTGGAAGCCAATAGTTATGAATTGAACGCAAGCGGTAAGTCCTTGAAATAGTAATTAGCGGTTGAAATAAATGTTTTTATGTAATAAATCTCAAAAAACTAAAATAATAGCTTGACAGCTCTTCAAAATGGTGTTTCAAAGATACTACATTTAATAACTTCTATAAACTATTGCAATCAATATTTAAAAATAGACATATCATATGGTTAATAAATTAATAACATAAATAATATACACAATGAATAAACGAGTAAATTAATATTTTTTCAAATCTTATTAAAGTGAAATAAAAACAACCCATAACACATAGCATAATATTATTTAATTTAGTTTTATAAAGCGTTACCCAACGACTATATTATTATAAATGGTGGTTTTTATTTAAACTCTTAATAACTTTTACTTATAGACTTATACAAAATTAGTCTTATAATTAATTTTGTATTGGTTGAAAGTAATTTTTTTTGTTTTTTTTTTATAAAACATTTATATTAATATGTGCACTTAATTTTTGTGTTTAAGCCGTTTAATGGATTTAGTAGCGTCTAGTGGCCATCGCATACGCGATCTGCTACCCGTTTTTGACTCTGCTGGATTTTCGAAAATTCCACCGCCCACTAGCAAAGTCGTCAAGCCGCATCAGTGAACTTTATGTGACTATCGTTGAACTTGCACGTATCAGATTTATGTCCACGGCATCGTTTAATACAAAATGAATAAAGCTTACACTAAAAAAAACATATTATATTGTTCGTCGGCAAAATGGGTAATACATTTAATTATAACCTTACAATTATTATTTAAAAAAATTTAATTATTCAAACGGTATGTCGCGCAAGTGTGGCAAAACCAATCGACGGTGACATCACTTGAAAAATATAATTTTTTGTTAGTGCTTAGAAAATTACTCAAGTAATAGTATAATAATTAATTATCTTTATCAAAAATATAATTTATAACATTGTATTATTTTATAATAAACAAATGAAAATCTAAGACTTGTTATTTTTATACTTGTTGTTAATTGTATACGAACTACAGTTATTCACAATTCCTTACCTTCGGCCTTCCTAGAAAGTAAATCACACACATGTATTGTTAATTAATATAATACTCATATATGTGGTACACATAAGTTGAATTGTGTATGGTTAGATTCTGACTAAATACACGTCTTCATAAGCGAATAAGTAGAAGTTAGATTATAAATTGGTAATTTTATAAAACAGACCTCACAAAAAACAAAAAAAATTATATAGTTCCTTTATACACAGCGGTCAAAATACATCATTTACAATTTACATCCAAATTTTTGTTTGTACCTATTTGTTTGATACATAATGAGGTTGGATTTGATACCATTGATTATCACACACACGTTATAACAATAGAGAGGTGTGTTTACAGTTTAAAAAGTGCAAAAATTTAAAAAAAAAAACCCGCATGTCAATCAGATAAGTAGCCAACCTCAGAGCCAACCCGTTACAAATATTCTCATTTCACATTTATATATTTATATAACATAGTGTACACATAGAACAGTAAACACGGTCAAAATGTTTGTTGCGAGTAATGTCGACGAAAATGTCCGTAAAGTTGACAATGGCAGTCCCGTTTGTTAATTTCAAATTATTCTTGTCCAAAATACTGTAATATGCGATAACTCACACTGGTCACAAAATTAATCTACAACGCGTACATTATACGCGGAACGGTATAATCGTACTTGTAGCAAACAAGTGTCATCATACTTGACCCCCTAAAGTCGCACGATTAGTGACATATTATATTATAAGCCTCTCTGCTTCTATTCCATAGTAATAACCTCTATGGAATTCGCCCTACGGTAATACCGATCTTTGACATCCGAGTATTAGCAATTCTCGTGATGACCAGTCATATAATGTGCCTACACATGAGATAAGAGTAACATCCAAACACACAAAGAGTTGGGCAAGTTTCTAAACTAACGCTATCGGATACAAGTCACTATATTATAAAGTATCATGTTACGTTATGACGTGGAAAAGTGATAAGATACAAATTGCAGCTGTATACATATCATTTTGTTACGACTTTTTTTTTTTATTGGAAATAAGAAAGCTTCAATAACAAAAATTATTAGCCAAGGCCCAAAACGACTATTTGTTTGAAAGTATCGAGGAAAATAACCAAAATTAATTTTTTTATAGGTATTTGGTATTAAGGTGGGCATATAATATTTTAGTTACAATTAACTCGTGTTGTGTGATTGGAAGTGGTAAATTGAGTGATGTACTGAACCCTGTTGGTAAAACATCTATTATTAATACTAATATATGTTTTGATTACATTTTCTTAGTGTACATAATATTATTTGTATTTGTTTTTAATAGAAATGTCACAACGTTGATTGATGAAATTGATATCTTATGCAAATTAAATTTTAAACTAGCAATTATAATAAAATGTCCATTAAAACTTGTCTTCTCTGAATTTAATTAAATATTGTCTGTCAATAACTGCTTGTGGTTACAATATTTGTAGTTAATTTGCTATAGTACATGATATGTGTTTTTAAGCGACCGCTACTAGTGATGGGAAAATCCGGATTTTGCGAAGTTCAAAAAACCGGAGTTTTAAACTTCGAAATTCGAAATCCGGAGTTGTAGTATTCGAACTTCGAAATCCGGATTTCAAAGTTTTCGTTATAAATCCGGATTTCGAAGTTTTCATTATAAATCCGGATTTCGGAGTTTTAATTATAAATTCGTAGATTGGATTTCAATTTTTTTACAATAATAAATAAATTATATTTGTTAATTATTTAGCATTATGTACAACGCATTTATGTAGTGTACAAAAAAATATTTAATTATTGAATTGGTAAATTAGGTATCTGTTTTTATAGTTATAAGAACATTATGTATAAACACGATTTACAAGTCTCAATGACACTTTTATAATAGATTAGAGCAATAAGTTGTAATAATATGAAAAATACACAACACAGTATATATATATATATATATATATATATATATATATATTAGGAAAAATAATAAGTCAATCTGGAATTGTATATGTCTTAAATCTAAATAAATAATAATAATAATAATAATACTTTTTGATATAAATAGTTAAGCAGTAGAACCAATTACATTTTATAAAATTGTAGTTAATTTTCGGTTGTTTTTAAAGTAATTGACATTTAAAATAAAATGTGCTACAGTTGACTGGTAAATTGTTCTTGTAATAATAATTAATTATTTTTTACTTTTTAGTTCACTTTTTACTATTTTTTAGAAAAGCATGTTTTTAAAAACAAAGTTTTATTTATTTATTTATTTTATTTTTTACTTTTTAGTCCTATGAAAGATACTTAATAATTGGTGAATAGATTACTAAATTCATTTTAGAAGATTTGAAAAAAAAAAATTAAATTTTAGTGAAATGACCGCCATATTTGACCCCCCGGCATTTGCGACCTGGATGTCTAGGTCCCAATATTTTGACGGAACGTTGTATTGTCATCCAAAATGAGTGTCAAGGTTAAATTTCAGCCTATATGATATCAGGAAGTGGGTTAAATTAATTTTAGAAGATTTAAAAAAAACATGAAATTTTAGTGAAATGACCCTGTGTAGGGCGACCTGGATTCCCGAGTCCCAATATGATAACATTATATTATAGTGTCATCCGAGATGAGTGTCTGTGCCACGTTTCAGGCTTCTACGACATCGGGAAGTGGGTTAAATTAATTTTGCAAGATTTGAAAAATATCCGTACAAACGTACAGACGTACGGACGTACGTACGTGTTAGCAAGTTATAGAAAAGCATGTAAAAACTACTCAAATATAGCTTACAATTTTTAAATAGGTAATTGTTTTCAATATATCACAAATAGTGAACTGTAATACACAGCATACTTACTTTGTATTTAAGCTAGATTACATATATGAAACGTAAAGTTCATAAGAAACATATAACTTAGGGTAACTTAGTTGAAGGGGTCCGATAATAGCATTTCATAGAGGATTAAAAGTCAACTAATTTGAACAATTTGGTTATCTTGTACTGCTGAATTAGTAATTACAAAATGGCCTTATAAATTTAAAAATCGGTAATTTGGCTTTTTATTTAAACCCAGGTTACGGTTTCTTAGGTTCAAATTTTGAAATCCGGATTTGTCATTAAACCCGAATTCTTCGTGAAATCCGGAGTCTTCGTGAAATCCGGATTCTTCGTAAAATCCGGATTTTTTTCATTGAACTTCGAAAACCGAAATCCGGATTTATTTCCCATCACTAACCGCTACCATAGACGATTTTTATGGCGATGCCATAGTATAGGTGATTTTTCGCAAATCTTAATTTAGAGACTAAAATATAATGTATACTTAATAATACAATTTTAATAATTTTTCAGAGAAGTGTCTATTTTATTTTTTGTCATCCTTTTTATTACTTTTAAATCATATTTTCCTAAATAGTTATTTTATTTAAATTTATCTAATGCAAGTGTTTTTAAAAAAAATTTATATGCCTGTGAAATCCACCCCTCGATCAAAAATGATTTGGCAAAATCACATTAGCGCCCTATTAAAAAGTAATTTCCTGTATACCGACCCGAGGAGTGGAATGAATATTCAACAATTCCCTGACAGACAGGTACCAACGTCACGATTTCATAACCATACATATGGAAGTTATAACCGAATCGTGATTTGATTAAAAGCCACACTCCCCTTTCTGAGTTCTCTGCTCTTGTGCACGTTCGCTATCAATGTTTTTCTTTCCCTTGTCGTTTTATTTATTGGAATCGCATGAGTAATGCTACGTTGACCTCAGAATATGATTTTTCGCTTAAAGATATTTCCATTTATATCCCTGAGGGGTTAAATAAATGCATTTTTTATATCGTAATATTAAATATTATAAAATATCGCGTAGACTTATGGAAATAGTTTTATAATTTGTATTTAATTTTTCTTCGCTTTCTACGTTATATACGAAAATTATATATATATATATATATATATATATATACTATAAATATGAAAAGCGGTTTAGCTTACAATGGTAAATGTTCATTTATAATTATATAATATTATATGATATGCATATTATTTTTTTGTTTTATACGTAATCTTTAATAGCTTTCAATTCGAAGTAATTATTTTTAACCTGTTTATGTACAATGACGAATCATAATTTACCTTTATTTAAATTATTCTGTTAAGTTTCGAAAAGAAAATTTTTTTTATTATTATGAATATACACTATATTATGTTTAACTTGAACATACGTGTTAAGCAAACATTTCATATACCCTTTAAATAACATTAAAAATTATATTGTGTACGATTGATAATTTTTTAACATATAAAATTTAAAACATGCCTGGTTTTAACCTCTGGATGCATGACTTTCTTTACCCAATTTATTATTATTTATTTTTTTTTTTTATAAATTATATTAAGATATTTGGCAAATCAAAACAGCAACAACATGTTATAAACAGTATGATCAATATTAGAAATCCTAAAATGTTAACATAAGTCATAACATTAGGTTAAGCCACAGATGTTAATTTATTGTACTTTAATGTTTTACATTCAAATTAGATATGTTAAGTGTCCATGTGAATACAATGTATACTGATAAGTGATAACAGACTTTTTGCAAGTCGTTCATTTTATGTAGGGTGAAGGACGGTATTTTCGTGGCATAAGCAATTTCGTGATATAGTTTGTTGATCATATCGCGTAATTCCCTATTAGAAAATCACACTGATTGTTAAAATAACTGTTATTTTAACATCAGTGTGATTTTCAAGACAATTTTCTAATAGGGAATTACGCGATACGATCAACAAACTATATCACGAAATTGCTTATGCCACGAAAATACATTTCTTCACCCTA